AAGCAAAACCCTAATACTCTGGTGTTGTTATAATCAGTACTAAACTATAAATTTCTTCAGAATCATGCGCCTGAAACCGTCCTTCTCCACAGTTCGGAGCGGCAACATATCTTTAGCCAGGCAAAACGCAACTGCCTCCGTTAATGCTTTCCACCGCTTGCTTTGGCTGTCATATGGTGTAGAATGAACAAATGCGTCAGCAAGTTTAGTTTGAGTTGTTGTCGGTTTCTTGGCTTTGGAAGTTAATGCGAGCGCTTCTGCTGCATCGTAGCGCATCTTCTGGCTAGCTTCGTATTCTGGCTTGTGTTTGTGTTTTAGGTGGTGAAATAAATTTGTAGTGTTGCTGTCCTTCGATGTCACCGTTTGTCTGCAAACTTTGCATAATACTACTTTCTGCTCTGTGTCAGCCTGTTTAAAGCCAAACCAGTTCCAGATAACAGAGCTGGAACCTCTTTTAGCAACGAGCTCCTCCTCACTCACCTGTCCTCCGCCTTCCGCCATGTTTGTTTGTTTGCAATGCACGTTCTTCACACGTGACGTCAGTTGGACTGAAGGACTGTTGCGGCGCACATGCGGCAAGGWCTCGCGGTGGTAGTTTATCGTTTTTTATCGCGAGATGACAAATTATTACCGTGAGGAATTTTTTGGACGATATATCGCACACGATAACATATCGCCCATCCCTAGTCCTCGCTCTGTAGTAGAAGCAAGTAGACATGCACACACACTCTTCCTTTATTCTCCAACCTGAGATCACTCCAACTGCTGCAGGTAAGATACTGTCTATTCATGAATCCTCCAGACAACTACACTTTTAAAAAAGTATCTCTTTAATGTAAAGTGTGTGACGGCTCCAATCTGTTGCTGCTTTTTAATCCTTTACTTCCACATAGATACAGTATCTCTGTGGCCCAATCACCACACTGTGGTCTCACTGATACTCATCTAACGCCATCAATCTTTCAGCTGCTGCTTGAGATAACCCCAGTCCTGTGTTGACAAAGCAACGGCCCATTTCTAAAGCTGAGGTCCCACCTTCCCGTCCCCTATGGACTCTGAAATCTTTCCACAAAACAAAGCAATCATAAGCATGAATAGATGTCTGCTGTGAAACTCGATCTGACGTGTCTTTACATTCTGCACAGGTGACACATAGTCGCAGTCTTTTGAAGGCGACCAGCAAGCAGACCGAGCGTTTGGCATGAAAGGCGGGGAATTTGTCATTTCACACTGGGAGGAAATCCATCCCAGCCAACCTTTGTCCTGAATAATAGACAGGAGCTGGTTGAACATGTCATTTTGACACGCTGGGCGTTATGACATGGACAGTTTTACTGCTGCCTCGGTGGAAGGAAGGAAACTTGGTCTCATGTTACAGAGAGGACAGAGAGATAAAGATGTGCTTGCTTCTTTTTACTCGTCTCCCCCATATAATAGCTCTGTATTTTCCTACACTTGGCACATGTGTTTGTCTTTACACTGCCGAAAAATACTCATTTAACTCCAAACAGCAGCATAAATTCTAAGATGTTTGTTGAGTTTATTTGTAAAATAATGTACTTTATGCACTCTGATTTACATATATTAAACATTACATGATAATTATATTTTATTTTAGTTTATTCAGCTGGATAGCTCTATCTGTTGCAAATAACCCTCAGACAAAATCTCGCACAATATCTTTAAAATTGATTCAAATAAAGCTAAAGCTGTGTTTTTTTGTTTAGTTGGCTGTGGCAGCCATCTTGAATTGGACTGGCTCCAAAGAGTTAATAGTTGTAGAAGCTGGTGATGACTCTCAGTCAGGACATGGTAAAAACAGTCAAATAAATAAACTATCTGGGGTTTACATCCAATAATTTAAGTAGTTCTAGAAAATTACAAAAACTTTGGTGAGTAGTACATGAGATATTTTACTAACAGAGTTGATTCCAAATAGTTAATGGCAACGTTTTAGTAAAAAAAACGTCTGTTAGTATTCAGAGATCAGTCTTAGCTTCTATAGCACCAGATTTTAGCTCAATATTGGTAAAACATATTAAGAATAGTCATTTCTGAATGTTTTATGTTCAGTTGACTGCGACTTCAAAAGTTAATTACTTGTGAATGATTGATTTTTGCAACTTTCAACCAAATTTGCTTAGTGGTTAAAGAGATAAAGACAAACACAAAGACAGAAAGAGCCACTGTGCTTTCAATGTTATTGTCAGGCGATAAAATAACATTTTTAAAAATAATCTACTATGTGAAAGTTAAATTTACACTTATTGTGAATAATATTTTTTCCTTTGATGTAGGAGTCTATATGCTGGGTAAAAAAAGTCAGCTTCTGTGTTTGAGCCCCGACCTGAGTGCACCTGCCCGGTAATGCCTAATTTGAGATCTGAGCCTGAAGCAATAACAAAAGATATGAATCTTTATATTTCTTCTTCAAAGGCAGCTGCAACAGACCAACACAGAACTGTAGCACAGTAGCCCGCTGGCTCAAAACATAAACAACCTGTAATGTAATATTTAATGCTTCACTGGTCTAATGATAGAAACACTGCAGTCAGTGCCAGCTCTATAGATGTTACACAAAGTTACCTGCATGTAAAGCACTGCAAACACATTCAAAGTCATTTTTCCTGTAATAATCATTCGAGAAGCTGATAAAGTAAAAACCTTACTAAACTCTTAGTATTTGACTGGTTCTAATCTATAAAACCGAACAATACCAAGTAAATATTAAAGCTAAAGTGCTGGAGAAAAATGTTGTATTTAAAGAAATGCTTTATGTGTTGTAAAGTGGTGTTTTGTAAAGCTGTTATACCTGCAGTAGAAATCACTTAGAGTGTTATCAGTTTAGATAACCAAGCAGATGTTCTCTGAGGGCAGATGAGGTATATGCAAATTCAAACAAAGAGAACTCCAAAGCAGATCATTGCCTTTAATAAAAATAAAAAGCAGATTTGAAAGTTTTCAAAGTGTCAATACTATATTTTATATACCTTTATAGCACTCACACCTTTTGCAATAGATGGTTGTTTCTAGTGGTGTCCTGATACTATCAGGCCTGATACATTTACAAGTACTTGTACTCATGCAAAATGCCCCGATGATCGTAACCGATACCAGTATTAACACTGGGATACTGTTATCAATGCTCTATTAAACGCCTTACATTTCAAGTGAAAAGTTTTTCAATTCCATGTTTGTATCTATTTTTATTTGCTTTAAACCCAAAAGTATATATCATGCTGTATATTAGTCAGAGGGGCTAGACCTATAATAGAAGAGAGACACCTTATCTAAAAAAAGTTTTTAAAGTTAATGTGTAAGTATCCAATTTAAAGTACTTGTACACATACTTGTTTTGAGGAAAAACGAGTATCAGGACACCCCTTCTATCTTTAAAGAGGTCCTCACAATAAAACACGTGAACAAAAGATCTTAAAAATGTATAAAGAAAGTATAAATGTTTAAATCAGGGGTGCCCAATCTTTTTTGAACCAAGATCTACTTTTGAAGTCGGCAGTTTGCCGAGATCTACTTGTCCAGTATCAGTATAAAAAAACTTAATTTTTCATCTCCCTACTCCTCACTTCTTTAAAGTAAATAAAACAGAATGTAATGTGTTGCTAGTTTTATTTAATTTACACTTTGTCTAAAACACTGTAATTTCTAAATGCTTCAACACAGAGACTTCACTCTGGGCTCAAATTAAAGATAAAACTCCCACAAAACACATTCTACATCCATATTTACTCACAGCAATAAACAATCCTAATTTTTTTCAAAGCATTAACATTCCACACAGTTTATAAAACCACCAGCAGCGAAAAAATATTTGTTTTTCACTTTCTTATGATGCATATTTGTCCTCAAATATGACGAAATTAGCTATTCAAAATGGCAGACTGGAAGTGTTTTTATCCGAACATTTTTACTTCTCCTGGCCACAAAAATCATTCTTCCATGTCTTGAAGCACTCGAAACACTTAATAAGAAATATATTTTCATTTTATTGGCATGTTTAGTCAGTTAACTGGCCAATAAATGATGGAAAACGTTTTCCAGTGAGCATTGCTTTGTTTGTCCACTGGATGGAGCTATCCTCCTACAAATGACGACCATCTCCGTCTTTGGCCTGTAATTGGCTAAACAAAGTTCCCATCCCCTCAAACAACCAAATGAAAGGTATGGTGATTGGCTACACAGCTGTGGCATCAGAACGAAGCTCTGAGCTGATTGGCCAATTCTACAGTCAATCTAGCCCAGGATGACGGAAACCGGAAGTTGGTCACTTCTCACAGATTATTGGCTCTGGAGGGCCGATAGATGAACCCAGTTGGTCAAATGAGGTGTCAATCAAAACAGGAGGGCCTAGATGGCCATTTTGATGCATTGAACACGGAGGTAGTTTGCTGAGAAACGGAGAATGACAAAAGGAAAATTAAAACGGCACACGGGCGTTCCGGTGCTTGTTGCGTTCCACAAGCTTCGTTCGACTGCTAACCAGCTAAAGATCGATCGGTCGACCTCGATCGACTGATTGGCCTGGCCTGGTATAAATAGTCTTTGCCTAAAATGCTATAAAATAGTTGATTTTTACACGAGTTTTTTTCCACCAGGTAGTTTCTCTGCCAGATTACACCTAAAGGTCTCAACACACAGGAGGTGACAAACAACAGCGATTATCTTAAGGAGCTTTCATCACAACCAGGGTGAAACCTGACACACGGGACGCGATAGTGATTGCAGCATGCGAATCGCGCTCTCGGGTCGCTTATCTTCACAAAATTTGATTGTTTCTTCTCCTGACTCTTGTAAAGGTTATTGGTGGTTCACAAAAAAGGGGGTGCATTACGGACGTGTAAACTAAACAAATCTTGCGATGCTAATGATGTTGAAAAACAAACGCACACCAAGGTACAGTTTTATGAGGAAAACCTTACCGGATAACTTCACTCTGGTGCCAACAAATCCCCATAAAGCTACCTTTTTTTAGTAATCACTTGGTGAAAGTGTTAGCTAACTGCCGTGTGTAGCATACTCTTTGCTCATTGGTCAGCCAATGAAGCCGTTGCTGATTAGTTGTACGCTAAGCGACAGCGACAAAAGTTGAACATTTTTCAACTTCTGTATGTCGCCTCGCAGGCACACACTGGAGTGGCTCACAGCCAAGGCTGAAGCAGGTAGCATGAGGATCAGCACCTCCAAATCTGAATTCATGGTCGTCAGTGGGAAAAGGGTGTATTTCTCTCTGTGGGGTGGGGATGAGTTTCTGACTCAAGTCGAGGAGTTCAAGTGTCTTGGGTTTTTGTTTACGAATGAAGGAAGGATGGAAAATAAGATTGACAGATGGATTGGTGAAGCTTCTGCAGTAGTTCAGACTCTGTACCAATATGTTGTGGTGTTGTGGCACTGTTTACTGATCAGTCTACATTCCATCACCTATGGTCACAAACTTTGGATAGTGACTGAAAGAATGAGATCATGGATACAGACAGACAAAATGAGTTTTCTTTGCAGGGCAGCTGGGCTCTACCTTAGAGATAAGGTGAGAAGTTGATCCAGAAGAGATTCAGAGTTGAGCCACTACTCTTCCACATTGAGAGGAGCCAGTTGAGGTGGTTCAGGCATCTGGTAAGGATGCCTCCTAGATGCCTCCAGGAGGGAGGAGACTCCTGGAGAGACTATGGTAAATGGTAAATGGTACAGAACTTATAGAGCAC